TGGAGGATTGGGGGTGGGAGGGTGTTGTTGTTTAAAATTTATTTTATTTTTATGGATTTGTATCCCACCTTTTATTTTATTTTTTTACAAATAACTCGAGACTCCTCCTTCCTCCTATTGTCCCACAACAACCACCCTGTGAGGTGGGTTGGGCTGAGGGAGAGGGACTGGCTCCAAGTCACCCAACTGGGTTTCATTGCTAAGGTGGGACTAGAACTCCCAGTCTCCTGGTGATTGGCCCAAAGACACACAGCCGGTTTCCAGGCCTCAGGTGGGACTAGAACTCCCCGTCTCCTGGTGATTGGCCCAAAGACACACAGCCGGTTTCCAGGCCTCAGGTGGGACTAGAACTCCCCGTCTCCTGGTGATTGGCCCAGAGACACACAGCCGGTTTCCAGGCCTCAGGTGGGACTAGAACTCCCAGTCTCCTGGTGATTGGCCCAAAGACACACAGCTGGTTTCCAGGCCTAAGGTGGGACTAGAACTCCCCGTCTCCTGGTGATTGGCCCAAAGACACACATCTGGTTTCCAGGCCTCAGGTGGGACTAGAACTCCCCGTCTCCCAGCCCAAAGTCACCCAGCTGGTTTTCGTCTGCTGCATCCAAGCCATCTTTTTAAATTTGGCTCCTTGGGACTCCCCCGCAGGAGAGGGCACCATCCCGGTGGAGTCGAGCGACATCGTGCCAACCTGGGACGGCATCCAGCACGGCGAACGCCTGCGCACCATGTCCTGCAGTGACAAAATCCTGCGCTGGAACGTGCTCGGCTTGCAAGGCGCCCTCTTGTCCCACTTCATCCATCCCGTCTACCTTCGCTCAGTCACGCTCGGTAAGCTGAGCCGGTCACGCCTTAAGGTGGTGGGGACTAGAACTCCCCCCACAGTCCAAGTGGATTTGGCAACCAACGTATATTTTACACCTGTTGCCTGTCCTGGTGTTCAAGACGTTAACCGCCCAATATTTCCTTTGTATTGTGGTCCACTTTTTATTATTTATTTGTTCAATTCGTCCTTGATTCGCCCTGTTTCTAAGCCCCTCGCGGATGGATTGTTCTATAAACTATATATAAATCAGCAAATCCAGGTGGATGAGACCGCTCTCCTTACAACCTGCCTTTTTTCTTTCTTTTTCTTTTAACCAACTCTGCCTTTTCTCGCTGTTGCAGGCTACTTGTATAGCCAAGGCCACTTGACCCGCGCCATTTGCTGCCGGATGTCCAAAGACGGCGACGCCTTCGGGGCGAGGCTTCCCGCACCCTATTTGGTCAATCACCCCGAGGTACCTCCCGCGTTCCCCTTCTCTCGGATTAAATTGATCTAAAAAAAGAGTCCGAATTTTTTTCATCGAAAAGAGTCAGGATATATGGACGGTAGCACTTAAGAGAGCAAAAGACATCGCGGTCCTTTTCTTAAGAAACAAAATTGGTCTCTTTCCCCCATTTTCCTCCAGAGATCCCCCCCCCCCCCCAACAGCACAGTCAGATCGCTAAGCTCTACGGGTCATCCTCGTTTAGGGACCGCGGTTCCCTCTCAGGACTCTCAGTCCTGTCATAACTTTAAGAGAGAATGATCCTTGGCTCCATTGCTGAGAAAGGTATAGAATCACCAGCCCGGATCCCTAAATTCTCCTTTTCCCCTCCCTTAACTGTCCCTCACTGCCCACCCCAATATAACCCATTAAGTCCAAACAAGATGGTTTGGTAATGAAGCATAAATTGGTATGCAGGCCCCTCTCTCCTTTCAGCTGAGCGACCTTGAGGCAGCTTCAAGGGGTCTCAGCAGCTACTTTCAGTTTCCCAAACATTCCTCCCCAACACAGTTCATGGCAGTCTGCCACAGCATAGCAGCGAAGCCTAAGCCAAGCGTAAGATGGCAGCTGACAGGGACCTCCAACCCGGTCACTCAGTGAAACTGGGATCCTACTTTGGCTTGCGGAGGTCGTCAGAAAGTTATATCTTCCTCCCCGTCGTTAAATGGCGCGCCGTTGCGGTACGAGACCGTTACTAAATCGGGACGACCCCGTAGATTGATTTTCACCCTCGAAGGGGGAAAAGCACTCCGCTTTTTAACCCCTCGCTGGTCAAGTTGGGCCAACCAAAAACCGAGCAAGCCATATATCCCCACCGTGGAGATGCTATAAACCGTTGTGGTTACTAAGCATTAGAGAGAGCAGGATTTTCGCGCGGTTCTGTACGGGCGGGATAAAAAAATTTTTTTAGGTCATTGAGACCTTCCAGGCTTGAACAATGACTGTTCGCGGCTCGGGGTCCAGCAAAGAAATCCAGCCCCTCCCCCTAACCCCCCCCCCCCCCTTGGGCCCTGCAGGTCGGCCGTGTCAGTGTCTACGACTCCGCGAGGCAGACGGGGAAGACCAAGGAATCCAGCATCAATTGGTGTCTCCCGGATGGCACCAGCGTCGAAATCCTGGACGGCACGAAAGGCAAAGTGGACGGGTACGTCCGACGTGGATCCATTCGAGACGAGAATATTTTGGGTTGGGGGGGGGAGGGGGCACTGCAGAGATCCTGGAGCACTTTTTTAATGGGGTGGGTTATTCTACGACGGATAAGCAGAAGTTGTTTAATGTTGTGGAAAAAGTCTCGTGGGATTTAAGCTGCTCTCGAGTCCAAGCTGCCTTTTGCAATTGACCAATGGGGAGATTTTGTCAACGCCAGTGGTGTTGAATTGGTATTATTATGGTTCACCACACAGTCAGATATTTACGCTGGATTAGACCTTCTTATCCATCTATCAAGTCCTCCCCAAGGACTTAGGATAGGGGGGGTGTTTTTTATTGAATATTATTGAATATTATTAAAGATATCCCCGCGAGATGGCAGCTGTTCTGAGTCAAGCCACCTTTTGCAATTGACCGATGGTGAACCTGCCAATGCCGACAGCGTTTATGGCCTGCTCCAGTTTAATTATTATTATTATCATTGTCATTATTATCGTTATCATATACTTTATTCATTAAGCATGAAAATCAGTCAATTGAACATTGAAAAATGCATCACAAATACCATTGACCGGTGCTAATGGTTAATACGGGTTGCTGCCACCGTCCTAGGTATCCTAAGTATTATTATTAGTAGTAGTAGTAGTAGTATGTTTATTTGCTTATTTATTTATTACCCGTGTTTCCCCCAAAATAAGACCCTGTCATATATATTTTTTGCCACCCAAAAAGGCACCAGGTCTTATTTTCGGGGGGGATGTCATCCATTGACTCAACTCACTTGTGTGCCACACACACACACACACACACACCGGCCTCCTTTTTGCTGCAGTGGCTTTCAGGAACTACTACTTCTGCAAATATCAAAGCTTTTTTGAAGGCCTCTGCAGCCAGTAACAGAGCTCAGGATCGATCCAGAGCCTGTGTTACCAGTTGCAGAGGCCTTCAGGAAAGCCTTGCAATTTGCAGAAGAAATGGGCCAGCCAGGCAGGTGTTGGGGTGTGCGAGGCCCAGCTACACCTGTCCAAAGGTAAGTAGTAGGGCAGCTCTACCCCACCATCCCCACCCTAGCTTAATTTGTACCCGTCCACTCTGCAATGGGCGGGATCTTAATTAGGGCTTGTTTTGGGGGGTAGGGCTTATATAGCAATAGCACTTAGACTTATATACTGCTTTATAGTGCTTTGTAGCCCTCTCTAAACAGTTTACAGAGTCCAGGTTGGTAGGTAGGTAGGTAGAAAAGGAAGGAAGGGAGGGAGGGGAATAGCAATAGCAGACTTATATACCACTTTACAGTGCTTTACAGCCCCCTCTAAGCGGTTTACAGAGTCCAGGTAGGTAGGTAGGTAGAAAAGGAAGGAAGGAAGGAAGG